ACACTTATGTTATAAGGTGACCTAAAAATGCTACACCTGTATGTTATACAGTGACCTAAAAACGCCACACCTGTCTGTTATAAAGTGCACCTGAAATGCCACACCTGTATGTTATACAGAGCACCTTAGAATCCCACACCTGCATGTTATATAGTGCACTATAGAATACCACACCTGCATGTTATGTAGTGCACCTGAAATAGCACACCTCTATATTATACAGTGCACCTTCCAATGCCACAACTCTGTATTATGTAATGCACCTAAAATACCACACCTGGATATTATACAGTGCACCTTGGAATACACCTGTATGTTATAAAGTGCACCTGAGAGTATCACACCTATATGTTATAGTGTACCAGAGAATAGTACACCTATGAGTTATACAGTGCACTTGAACTACCACACCTGTATTTTATACAGTGCACTTGAAATGCCGCACCTGTATGTTATACAGTGCACTTGAGTACAACACCTATATGTTATACACTGCACCTGAGAGTACCACACCTGTATGTTATACAGTGCACCTGAAAATACTACACCAATATGTTATAGTTCACTTGAAATGCCACACCTTATGTTATACAATGCACCTGAAAATTCTACTCCTGTGTTATATAGTGCATCTGAAAATACACCTATATGTTTTACAGTGCAACTAAGATTACCTTACCTATATGTTATACACTGCACCTTACAGTACCACACCTGTTATATGGTGTACTTGAGATAACACATGTATGTTGTACAGTACACATGAGAATAACTCACCTGTATGTTGTACAGTACACCTGAGAATACAACACCCTTGTTATATAGTGCACCTGAAATGTCACACCTGTATATTATATGGTGCACCTGACAGTACTACACCTGTATGTTATATAGTGCACCTGAAAATGCCACACCTGTATGTTATATAGTGCACCTGAAATGCCACACCTCTATATTATATAGTGCATCTTAGAATGCCACCCCTCTGTCTTATATAATGCACATGAGAGTACCACACCTATATAATATAGTGTACCAGAGAATACTACACCTATGAGTTACAGAGTGCACTTGAAATACCACATCTGAATTTTATAGTGTACTTGAAATGTCACACCTGTATGTTATACAGTGCACTTGAGAGTACAACACCTATATCTTATACACTGCACCTGAGAGTACCACACCTGTATGTTATATAGTGCACCTGAAAATACTACAACAATGTTATACAGTTCACTTGAAATGCCACACCTATATGTTATACAGTGCACCTGAGAGTACCACACCTATATGTTATACAGTGCACCTGAGAGTAACATACCTATATGTTGTACAGTGCACTTGATAGCACCCCACTTATATGTTATAAGGTGACCTAAAAATGCCACACCTGTATGTTATACAGTGACCTAAAAATGCCACACCTGTCTGTTATAAAGTGCACCTTCCAATGCCACAACTCTGTATTATGTAATGCACCTAAAATACCACACCTGGATATTATACAGTGCACCTTGGAATACACCTGTATGTTATATAGTGTACCAGAGAATAGTACACCTATGAGTTATACAGTGCACTTGAACTACAACGCCTGTATTTTATACAGTGCACTTGAAATGCCACACCTGTATGTTATACAGTGCACTTGAGAGTACAATACCTATGTTATACACTGCACCTGAGAATACCACACCTGTATGTTATACACTGCACCTGAAAATACTACACCAATATGTTATAGTTCACTTGAAATGCCACACCTTATGTTATACAATGCACCTGAAAATTCTACTCCTGTGTTATATAGTGCACCTGAAAATACACCTGTATGTTTTACAGTGCAACTAAGAGTACCTTACCTATATGTTATACACTGCACCTTACAGTACCACACCTGTTATATGGTGTACTTGAGATAACACATGTATGTTGTACAGTACACATGAGAATAACTCACCTGTATGTTGTACAGTACACCTGAGAATACAACACCCTTGTTATATAGTGCACTTGAAATGCCACACTTGTATATTATATGGTGCACCTGACAGTACTACACCTGTATGTTATATAGTGCACCTGAAAAGGCCACCTAAGAGTACCAAACCTGTATGTTATACACTGCACCTAAGAGTACCACATCTCTATATCATACAGTGTTCCTCAACATGTCACACCTGTATGTTACATAGTGCACCTGAAAATACCACACCTGTATGTTATATAGTGCACCTGAAATGCCACACCTGTATATTGTACAGTGCAACTTAGAATACCACACCTGTATTTTACACGGTGTACCTGATAATGCAACACCTGTATGATATTCAGAGTACATGACAATACCACATCATCTGAACTATAAACCCTTGTAATTATCACCTTAGTGATCGAAGCATGTCAAGATTCTCCAGTCAATCACATAATAAAGTAAGATATGCTAATACTTACAGGTAATTCTTAAAGCACTCTCTATCGTATTGGTTTACCACGAGCTTTCAAACAATATTTCATCGTTCTCGTAATAAAAATTGATAATTCACTTTATTAATATAAAAGTACGTTTTTCAACTTCACGTTCAGAGAGCTACTTCGTCTACCACAAATATGTTCTCCATCGTGCTTACATTGAAGCTGGGAACATCGCCTCGGGTGTCAAGAAAAACGGCAGAATTAAATGTGTGTGTTATTTAAATAAAACCCTAATCCATGTCTAAAAACATTGACCTTTATTAGGGCCGCATAAAAGTTTGAAGGCGACAGACTAGACGTAATCCCAACTGCTGTTTTCTCTTTATCACGTCTGTACTAAATAATCAATAAAAGATTAAATTTTGTTTTTCAAAAGGTATGTATGTAAGGAAATCTTAGAATTTCAACAATGTCCCAAACCCGAGGTTGGTTAAGTTGAGCACAACAAAGACGTGACATGTAGTTTTTCAGGTCAAATGGATTTCGAGATAAGCAGTAAGATTTCGTGAAACAATTGACAAAGTTATTTGCAAATAACTAAAATATTTTCCGTGGCCATTTGAGGGTAAAGAAATTATAAAATTATCGAATTGGTATCGTGATGACTTAAAATCCCACGCAGATCACTCTCCTATTTGAAATATTGTATATTTACATATTTGAAAATACCACTTTTCTAAAACGTTATATGAAATCAGAGCTTGTGAATTGTCCTTATGTGAAACTTAAGGTTGTCTCCCCTCGTAAATCTCCTCCTACACATGTAACACTCAAACCTCCGGTAACCCGAGTGCAGTACCATGTGTCTTTTCAGAGAGCTCTTGGAGGTGAAACCTCTTTGACAAAGATAACAGGCGTAGATCTGTATTTGTTGTTGCAGGCCTGGAACTTTCTTCAGCTGCATCATCAAGTTGTTATCTGGTTGACAAAGTCCCCAAAAAAATAGAAAGAAATAATGTAATTTATGTTTCTTACGGATATTTCGGCATAGCAATTTTACGTAAATTAAAATTCTATAACACAGAAACTAAAAAAATAAATTAATGTTTTCGTTTATGATCAATCTCATTAGCATAATGTGAAATGTAAACCTGAGGAAGAATGGAACAAAGTATTTAGAAAATTATGTAGTTTTACGTAATGATAAGTATTAACCACTCAGCTGTCAGAAACTCTGCAAGACTAAATCCCAATAATTATAGGAAGCGAAACAAATTAAGAAGCGCGGGAAATGTATTTTTATTACTTTCTTTCCTCTATGACATGTTTGTGTGCGATAATTCTTGATATAAGTATAACACGTCTTCGGTTAACTCCGTAATTATCGTTAGTCAACTTGATAGGCTTACATTTTCTCTTTTGAAGAATGAAACTTCCGATAAATACAAAGTGACGTTAAAGGCCTGATTTCTTTAACATACAATACTGAATACAAAAATAATAACAAAAAAATTTATTCACTCATAAAACTACGCCAAACTTCACTCTGACATCTAAAATCGTAATCCCAAGACTTGTTAGAAAAAAACTAATTACAGGCATCTGTTTAAATTTTTTGAAGAAATTTTCCAATAAGACAGTCACTAGTTAGGCTAATTTTAAAAATTGTCTTTTAGTGACATCTACATAATCAACTAAATACATGTATTCAGTCATTTTAACATGACAAAAGCAATTTATAATATAGTAATATACGTTCTACTACCGTACCATATACATTTGATAATTACTGATCCAATGGGAAATTAGAATTTATTTATTTATATATACATACACACGCATATATAATAAATCGAAGAAAAAAATATGCAGTATTTACTTCATTTTCAAAACTGTTAGGCTTAGGTTATATCAAATGAAAAAAAAGGAGGAAAACTTTGTACCTTACACTAATAATTTGATATGGATTTAATTTAACTTTTAGCAACCGTAAACTTCAGATACTATATTTTTATATACCAAAACAAGCATGTACATAAGTATATTTTAGGATAACCAACTTTCTGAAGTACATTTCCGAAAGCTAAATGCCACCTGTCATATAAGCTTTCACAAATTGTCAGTACATGTAGTTTTCTTTGACATTTCATACTACATTATTTATAATCAATAGGAAGCCAAAGTTTTAATCTATCAAATAACATATTACGTTGTTTTCTGGGCACAGAATTGTATATTTCACCTTCAGTTCGAATATTTTTCTCACAGGAATCGCATATTCACAAGCTAAACCGCATTTATAAAAGTTTTTATCTGAGTTATAGGAAATTATTTGCTTTGTGCGTGTTATAATTCTGTGTTTTTATGAGCATTATTTAATTAGATAAAGAATATTTAGTAGCGTAGTACTACCATAAGCTTAAGTTTCATCAACAATCGACAGCAAAAAAGGGGGTTGGGACCCAGGTAAGCACTATATTTCTTGTTTTTCCTGTGTATTATAAATATAACGGAAAAGTAAAAATGAGAATCTAATTTAGTTACATAAGATTAGATTAAGTAAGAAAATGGAAAAATAATAAAAATGCAACACGAAGTATGCTTGCGAGCAGTATAGTTATGGTAACGCGAGCTGCACGTTCGCCGAGTGAAACTACAGTTTTTTTATTTGCAAGGAGCAAAAATTTGAAAGTTGTTCCGTTTCTTTTTTAAATATATATATTTTTGGAATCCGGGAGGGTTGGCAAGCCTAGTATACTTATGTACTCACTTTTATGAACTGACAATCATACATAGTTGACATATTTTAGGAACTTAGTTGAATAACTCTCCTCTTTAAGAAACAAAACTACGACTTGTAAAGTATCAAAGACTTTCAGTATCTTGCAATGTTTAGGTTCACATATAAGTTGGTCTTCTGATTAGTAGTTATAGCTAACGATATCTCTATATTTTATTGCATGCTACAGCTTATGCAGGAACTTTTAATATAAAATATGTAAATAATTATGTCACGTGCTTTAGTTTTCAACTTTCACGCATTTTAAAATCCAACTTTTTGATAACTTAATAATAATAGTTTCCCGTTCAAACTTTGGCAAACAAAGAACATTTCGGGATTGTGTTGTTCTATGACTAGCACAGAAGGACGTAATGTGAAAAAACAAACAAAAAAATCACTTCAAACATCGTTCATTAAAATGACACATAAAATCGGTCCTCATCTCTTAATGCCTAAGACATATGTAAATTATACTATGCAGACAAAATTTATAAAGAAAAAGCACACACATACACTAATGAACCCCCATTACAGCTATTACTTGGAATATATCTTTTATGAGTCATTCCAAAATGAAAAATATTTCAATTATTTTTCAATTAGAGAAACTTTTCTTTAGTAACCGAACATCTAAGGCTGTTTTATGGAAATTATGTCAAAGTTCTTCCTAGTTGGTAGAAAACAACTGCGTTCCAAATCAAATTTCAATGAAAAGAAAACTTAAAACAAACGCTGTACACATTCCTCGATATTTGTACAGACACAAATGTAATTGTTTTCGAATGTTCTTATAAACCAACGAGGCCCAGTGAGTTTGTTTGGTGAATTTCGCGCAAAGCTACTCGAGGGTTATCTGCGCTAGTAGTCCCTAATTCTGACGTGATAAACTAGAGGGGAGGTAGTTATTCAACAACACCCACCGCCAACTCTTGGCTACTCTTTGCCTACAAAAAGTCGGATTTACCGTCACGTTATAATGCCACTACGACTGAAAACACGAGTATATTCAGTGACAAGATTCGAACCCGCGAGGCTAAAAAAAGGAATGGTTCTGGTGGTTGCTCACGTCACCTCGAAAAACCCGCATCTACAATGTTATTTTTTAAATTTAAACAATAAATATAAATCGGATAATCTGCTGTCGGCATTTGTCCAGTATGTACACAGCCTTCTGGCCCAGAATTTGTTTTAAAGTTTCGCGCAAAGCTACACAAGGGCTATAAAAAAAGCACCCACTGTCAATTCCTGGAAGACGCTCGTCTGACCAAATAGTAGAATGTCACTATTACAATGTTCCCATGTCAACGAGTCGCAAACCACGAACCTTGTTTTGGGGTCAAACTAAAAATACTAAAAAGAAAAACAAAGCTTTGAAAACTAAAGAACTGTCAATATTACATAAGTTCCATACAGTATTTTTAGAGGGCGCGATTGACTTAGCGTTTTCGTTGTTTTGTTATCCCCCAAAACCGTTTTCTTTGTTACCCATGCACGTAACTGGGGTGGGGGATGAGTTACAACTCCCTAAGTTATACTCATATGTACATATAAAACATTTGAAAATTGTAAAAATAACATCAGATACCATCAAAATGCACCAATTACTGTGAAAATTAGAAAGAGTTTCTAAGGGGCATGCCCCTCACCCCAATGGCATCGTCACTCACTTCATTTTTCCTACGAAAAACAACCTTCTTTATAGATTTCTGCCTACGTCTCTATTCGTAGGAAAACCTCATTTACTGTTGTGAGCCGTCTTCTTGTGTCGCATCAGCCCATGAGGCCACATGAAAGAACGATGGCACATACTGCACCTGTAACTGTTCCGGAATCCTGAGTGTAGAACCATGTGTCTCTTCATTGATCCCTTTGTAGTGAAGCTTTTGTGACACAGATAACAGGCGTATACTTGAAACTGGGGTACGTTCTTCAGTTGGTCCATCATAACTTCGTCTGTTTTATAAAACCAACAATGGAAATTTATTCCACAAATGCTACACGATAAAAGGTTATTTTGATTTAAAAATCAGTTTAAGCACCTTATAAGTTAAGACTATCCAAGACTGATGTAAATGTTGCAACACAATCATAGATATACCAATTCCACATTTAGTAGTTTTTAACGTCTATAATAAACGTCAACGACAACCTTAAATAAACAAAACGTCGTTCTTGTTGTCAAGCATTGCACTGTAGTATCACTCCGCTAGGTGACGATACAACAAATCTTGATATTGAGTAGATAGATGTAACAAGTAAATAAATAAGAGATTACGAATTTGGATGGCATAAACTCGAAGTTTATGCTAACCTAAAGCTTGATATATTTCCGTATACAGGCATTACTTTACAAGAAATTATAGAGTTCGTTGTTCGAATCGTGCTCTTTCTTGTGTTATCAATTGTTTACACTATTATATTTAAAACTATCGGCCTAATAATACTGATAAAAATCACCCTAGTGCCTAGGATGTTTTTTTCCTGTTTTTTTGTGCTAACATCTGCTGTCTAGCATGATTTTTTTTTCTTATTAAGCCTACTTGGTTTCAATGCTTCGCCTGGTTTTTGACGTTTAAAACCGTTATACTTTTCTGTACATTAGCACGTTACACAGTCCAAGCTTGAGATACTCAATTTATGCTACTACTTTAAATTGGAAATTTATCGAAATCACTCAACGACTAATATATGTCTACATTTTGTAAGTGGTGGGATGACAATTTTCAAGAATTCTTAAATTGTTTGTTTGTTATTAAGCGCAAACTTACGTCTGTGGGCTATCTGTGCTATGCCCACCACGTGTATGGAAACCCGGTTTTTAGCGTTCTAAGCCTTTAGATTTACCATGAATTCTATAACAGCTCGGATATTTTTGCCAACGGAAGTCATAAGTCACAATTTGTAACAAGCAAAAACTATCCGACAACAAAAAATAAAGGCTCGCTAACCAGTAACAACTGCATAAAAATTACCACACGTAAACAAAACTAAATAGTTACCTTGACAAAATTTTACGACAATCTGCTAATGTATAATTTTTTTAAACAAGTCACCAATATGCCTCAAATACACTTTCATAACTAGAATACTTACAATAAGAAACATATTTTAAAATACAAAACACGTTTTATTGAAAATCACACTTTAATCGTTTGTCTGTATGTGGTAAAACCTTTTTAAACTAAGCAACTTATAGTTTGATTATAAAACGACCATTCTTTGAAAGGAACATTTTTTTGGCGAGTTCTTTGAATAGTGTTCAATAACTTGCAAAACATCGCACCGGGAATTTTAGACTCATACCTGAACCATTTTACATAGTATTGCACGTGCGCTTATCACAGATTCTGCGTTAAAAGTTGCAAATGAAAAACATGTAGTTAAAATGTTTCATATTTTCAAAAAATGAAAAAAAACAAACTTGTATTGCTATTCAAATTCTAAATTTATACTCACTAACTTCGAAAATAACTTGGTTATGTTTAATGTTGTACACATTCAACATTAAACACAAGATATATATATATATATTCAAGTTATACACTGTACAGTTACAAGTCTCGCGAATACCAAACAATTTATAGACTCTCTCGGTTTTTTCAGTATGATTTCAAGTGCTACACATACCTATTAGGTTAGTGGGGTACGGCTTCTAGTCTTGTTTTTCAGAAATAACAAGAATACAACGTGTGAGTCACACATAATAAAAATAATTCAACTTATAAACAAGTTATGTAAAAGTTTATTTTGTTTCGGATATTCGCACAAAGCTAGAAAAAGTGCTATCTGCGCTAGCAGTCCCTATTTTTGAACTGATATACTAGTAGGAAAGCAGTTACTCAAGGGCGTCCACGGCTAACTTTTCGGCTACTCTTGTCTGACCGCATAATGGAGTTAAACCGTCACTCGCATCCATTAGCCTAGACGGCGGAATGCGATTTTATACTTTGCTGCAAAGGGATACCAAAATACGAATCCTCGGCCCCACAGTTCGACGCACTAACCCTTAAACAACGTCAGATCCGATGGAAATTTAAGACCTAATAACATAAATTATTTAATAAACTGGTAGGCTAGCTACCGATGGAAAAGCTTTTTTTTTTCAATGCAATCGATACAAGTCATGGAAAAGTAAGGGATGTTTCCCACATTTAAATATTTAATTTGGAGTAAGAAAAATAAAATAAAAAGTTCACATTTATACTTAATGCAGCTCTCAATTTTATTTTCAAACTCGACTGTCTCCCAGTGAGTCAGCGCTAAAAATCGGGTTTCGATACCCGTAGTGGGCCTAGCACAGATAGCCCATTGTGTGTAGCTTTGCGCTTAACAAGAAACAAACTAACAAACTCGACTAACGATAAAGAAACAATTCGGGTGAGAACAGTCTAACATACTGCGCATGTGTAACCAATAGCAACGAGTATTCACACTCATCACGTGATATTTATGATTAATGTTTGACACATTACTAAAATATGGTATTGAAATCTGACATATAGATTATACAGGTTATCCTCTGGCCAAACTTTGGACAACATAAATATAGTGTTAAAATCTGGCATATAGGTTATACAGGTTATCCTCTGGCCAACCTTTTGACAACATAAACATCTGACATATAGGTTATCCTCTGACCATAAATATAATGTTGAAATCTGACATACAGGTGGTTAAACTTGAACAAGTTGTCTCTGGACAAATTTGTGACAACATAAATAATCTGTCATCTTACATAACAAGTTTTATATGTAAAACCATTACACTATCACTTATTTCTAGCTTTTTTGTCCACTGAAAGATTTGATCTCTGATCCCTACACACATGGAGGATCCAGTTACTTAAGTGATATAAAACACTGCTTGTACTTGAAACAATGCATCTGTTCACCCAGAAGGCTGTTATAAATTTCATAAAAAATTTACTTAAAGTTAGAAACAGTTTTACTTTTTCATAATCTTAAGAAATTCAGACTCAATATATGTGATAATTTATTCACGTAAATGTTTCTAAAGCCCTACGAACCATTTTAATATGAGCTTTAAGATTGTCTATTCTTATAAACATTCGGTTACACGTGGCAATCAAACGTTTCTTGAAACCCACTGTGACATGTCATGTGTCGTTAACACGTGTATCAGTTAAAAAATGCTCGGCCAAAGAAATGACACCGTTTTCCATCTTCACAGAGTTCTGTCTCAATCTGTGGCTCTGTCCTGAATTCACAAGATAACAACATGATTAGTAATAAATATTCACTGAGAAATTAATGACAATCCTATGCAACTAGAAATAAAAACTATGAACAATTGTGAAAGAAAAGCATGATTTTTAAATCAGTGGATGAACCACAATAAAGTTAACTTAAAGAAGTGATGAATAACCCCATGAGAAAATATGATGATGAAATGTTGGCAAAATAATATCATGGGAAAACAATATGAATAGTTTGTGTAACATACTTTGAGAGAACAAGATCATAAAAACTAAAAATAAATATTAAATTTATCATTTAATTCACCTTTGGTCACTGAATTTCAGGAAATTCCACTCCTCATCAGTAACCTTGGACAAGGGCAAATCAAAAGAACAAGAGAATGCTTTTTATAGTGGTAGAGAGCATGTGTGGTGTTTTGAGTTATATTTACTCAACCGGAGGATGGAAAGTCAATGACTGTCATGGTTGTATTTCAGCAAACGATACATGACTACAACTTACAGCTCTAGTATCAGCAGAAAAAGATTATTGCAGGTACATTTAGGTGATTTATAAACTCACAGAGAGTGAACACATACAATAGTGGTTCATAATAAAACATACAGGCAAAAACCATTTTAAAAAGCAAACTTGTTCTTGAAACAACACTCAAGACTTTTTATCTCAATGGCTATGGCTACTAAAATATTGATAATAGCAACAAAAAAAAATATGATTTTCTGATTGTTAGACAAAATTCATCCATTTGTTCTTCATATTACTCTTGTTTCATGAGCCTACAGAAAAAATGGCTATGAATATTTTATTCAAACCTAAATAAACCTACTAAAACATGTCTTGTGCAGGTCGTACAACTATTCTTATGTTGATTCTTGAAAGGGAAGGAGAGATTTTATCAGTTTTCTCATCACTACTGGCCATGTTTCTCTTCGAAGGCATTCAAGAACAGAAGCCTACAGCAAAAACAGCTAGGTATACTGCACTAAAATCTATGCACAGCTACTAAACAAACTCCTGCAAATGTTGTAGTGCTATTTTTAAGTTAATTCTTGAAAGTCGAGATTTCCACCCTCTAACATTTTCTAAGTTCTTCTTTGCTACTAAATAAGAATATTGAAGCCATTTAAGCACTGTTATACTTGTCAGAAATGCTTGTTTTATACAAGGCCAAAAAGCTTCATTTTATTAATGGAAACAATGTGTATATTTTATAACAATGTATCCAGCCTTATTATTATTACTGATTATAATTTTACAAGTCGCAACAGAAAAAAACGATTATATACATTTTACTGAAACTTGGACAATAGTAATGAATCCAGTATTGAGTATGTTATAGGGTAGTTTTAAAATTAATTCAAGCATCTTATTTGTTTTTGCCCTGAGGAATTTCTCTAAGTCCTTCACTGAAAAAAAAACCCAGTGTTCTACTAATGAGCATTATTTGGAAAATAATTTGTGCAACTTAGATTGCATTAATTGGAAATTGCCACATTAAGGATTCATTGTTTCTGGAGTTCACTGTTGTACTTTGTCTCTACGTGGTTTTCTGTGACTATTTTAGTGAGTTTTCTGATTGTAGACAATTACCATAGTAGATTTATCTACTCTTAATTGTGAGGGGTGATTTATTCTACTGATTTTTGTACTTCGCTTATTAAATGTGCATTTACACTAAACCTCAGCCACAAAACCAACTGGCTCAGTAAATAATGGTTGGGTGGAAAAAAAAGCCAATGCAGCAGTGAACTGTTGAAAAACATGTAACATTCAACTGAATGCATATGTAGCTTAAAACTTATTCTCCATAAATGGACATAAAAAATCTTAAGAAACAAGATAATTAAACATTTTTAGTTTAAAAAGGGGAATAGGGATCATCAAAAAAGTACAGAAAGAAGTTGAATGAAAATGCAAAGATTATATTTTCAAGCCTACAACTAGTGACTCTAAAAAAAGTAAACAAACTAGACTGGAAACAGTGTCTACATTATTTTCTCAAGCTACAAATCCTTATTTTGACTCCACTAAAATTGATAAGTATGTAGACATGGCTAAGAAGGCCAGTACTCTAACCCACTGAGCCACCTAAGAGTACAAGTAGTCTCCATCATTGTTGATATTATGAAGAGTAAAAAGACTTTTCTATATCTCAATCCAATTGAGTGAATATACAAAAATAACAAGAGATATTTGCTTTACTAGTCACACTACACTTCAAGCACTCAAAGTTATCGCATGCTACTTAAGCATCACAAGAGAAGAGATATAAATAGAGAAAATAGCAAATAGCTTTGCATACAACCAATCAAATACGATTGGGACTAAATAGCAAAACTTAATGGAGAAAAAGAACAAAAAATAAAGTTACTTCTATTTGATAAAATCAATAAAATGACAAAAGATAAATTAAGGAGAAAGTAGAATATAAGAAGTGGAACCAATAAAAAAAAAGAAAGAAGAAAAATACCTTGGAATAAATAGGATCAGTGAAAAAATAGCTAAAGTTATAACAATTCAAAAATTAAATAGTTTCTCAATATCTGTATAATAATAATAAATCAAATTTGTACACAAAATGAAGTTTAAACCTACGACAAATAGTTTATTTCACGTTTCAATAATCTTTTAATAAACACAATAATAAATTGTACTAACCAGATGTTTTATCTTCAAAGTTCACTTGAAGTATTTTACTCTTGAATGATCCTGTACAAACAGCAGTGATTTCTCAAAGTTTCCAATCTTGTGTAACCTTTGTAGCATCCGCTACAAACAAATTTCTCTCTTCTCAGACTTTCCGGTTTAAACTTGCAATGATAAAGTACATGTCTTGAGAGATGAGTTTTATGTTTGAAAGTCTTCAAACACCAAGAGCAGTAATTTTCAGAGCCTTTCTTCTTCTTGCCTACAGGCACTAAACACCACAGTGTGTTTCATTAATTTACTATTTTTACACTGTACATTTTTCTAAACATTTATGTATTTATTAACAAGTTTGTGATGCAAATCCCAGAGATTTGATTTATTATATTACAATTGAAGGTAACAACTAAAAAAAGCATAAAATAAATTCCAAGAGTATATAAAACCTGCTAACTAGAATCATTCATGAGAAAAAGACAAGTCAGAACAATGCCACTGAATCAGTATTTCAAATTCAAAACATAAAATATTTATTTTATTAATCACATATATATACATCTGTGTTTGATGAAACTGTGCAACTGCCTTGACTACCTGTCAATCCTTTTTTTCCTTATCACATTTACATCAATGATACAACTCTGATATCTCATACAGTTACTAGAACTACATAAAATATGGCAGTCATCGAGATTTCAAGTTATTACATTTACATAACTTATGGTAATGTCTTTAAGGTGTAAATATTCACATGAACGTTCTGTGAAAACAACAATTCTTGCCAGTTTTCTCTAAGGGAACACACTTAAAAACACATAATACATAATGTTGAGCAAAATTGAACACACACAACACAAAATTAGAACCACTATATACCACCAGGGTTCACATGTAGTTTTAATCTAAAGGTCTCGATTAAGACGTTGGTATGGAATAAAGACACCAAATGTTTTTGAAAAAAAAAAAAGGTCACAATTAAGACATCAACCTTCCACTCCCCTTCAGTAACCCATGCACAGCCTGTAGGTGCGATTTATAAGAACCAGATCTGTTGAAAGGTTTCTGACAAATGTTGCAGTAGTAGAAAGGTGCTCCACCATGCTGGGTGCGGCAGTGTCTCTTCATATTTGTGGAAAAAGTGAATACTTTCTGGCAAAGAGGACAAGGAAAACAGCCACCTGCAAAGTCAGTGGGAAATATTCAGTCATACTTGGCTTTATCCAATTGTATCAATAACAGTAACAATGTGCCTTCTTTATTGTTCTTCACAATATTTGTTTTCTTCACATGACTTACAGTATAAAAGTATAGTGCTTTTTTGTCACTAATTTTATCCTTCTATTGCAAACACAGCATTTTCACTTTACTAAAAAGCTTTCAATGTTAATTTATTGATATTATCATGACTAATCCAGGTGAAAAATAATCATGTTACATGTATACTGAATGAACTGTCTATGGTTAAACATGCAGGAAAAATAAAAACCTTTAATGAGAAGTTATTAGTAAAAAACCAGTGACATACAGGATGTTCCAAAAGTAGATTTTTATTGTAGTATTGAGGGAATTAACTTGCTTTTCTTATTTCATCACACCTTTTTTTTTAGATAATGGCACAGAACACTGAAGTAAGAGTAGAGGTAATCTGAACTGAATCTGTATCACTTTTGACAATAGAGTGGAGGTAATTGGGACTGTATCCATATCACCTTTGAGAATGAACAATCTATAAACATGTACGGACATTCAGCTTAAACCAACTGACTAACTGTAGAGAATTGGCATGTACAGAATAATTATAACAAACTAAAATTATACAAAAATAACTGCCATAAGTTTCATAAAGTATGGGTTGAAATGAGATAATGTACCAATCAGTAAAAAAAAAAAGATTACCAAACAACAAATTCACCAATAATTTACTTGGCAATGATGAAGATCTAGTAATGTTTAGACTTGAGATTGAAGCCCAATAAGCTATGTCTGTATGGTAGTGTGTAGATATCATAGTGAATCTCAATAGCCTATGTCTCCATAGCAATGTGTTGACTTGCCAGAAACTTAACACAGTAAACTATGTCTCCATAGTAATGTGTAGACTTCACAGAAACATAACACAGTAAACTATGTCTCTATAGTAATGTGTAGACTTAACATAAACTTAGATCTTTTAAGATTATGATAATTTAATGTAGGAACAGAAAAACTACCACATGGCAAGGATACACCAATTCTTGTAGCTTGTTAACCCTTTTACTTTGACTGGGACGTATATTTCCCAGTCGCAGTGAATGGGTTAAACTACAAAAACTTGCACAGCCTTATATATATTTAAAGAAAATAATAGTTATAGTTGCCTTTTTTCATATTAATTAAACTAAGATGCTTCTATGAAAACAAGCTAACACATCAAAGAACCAGTATTTCTTTATTTCGTCATGGCAGAAATTTGTGTATTAATGCCTTTCAAATTAATTACATACAACATACACAATCAATGCAACAACAAATATCTATCATGAAAAACAGTTCTACTACACAAATAGAAACATATTTGGCACAGAAACAGAACTCTTTCAATTGGTGTACCTTACTGTTTGTTTAAAGGGAACATACATTCATCAAAACATAGCTAGTGAAAGATACAAGAGGACTAAAGTGCTCTAAAAAATCAAGTTTTTTTGTTCCAAATAACAGGTTAAACATACCTGTAAAAATATTCTTACACATTCCTATTAAAAAATAAATAAATTAAACTTCACTATTAATTTGGAAGCAGTAGCACAAGTGTTAACTTGAAAACCAAAACAAAGGTTTGTGTCTGGTTAATTTACTAAACTATACATCAATGTATGTTAACTTGAAAACCAAAACAAAGGTTCGGGTCTAGTTAATTTATTAAACTATACATCAATGTATGTTTTCAAGATAGGGTAGATAGATGTGGTATCCCGGTTAAGACAATCTTTCTTTAATTCTGTGTTTTTATTATCTTTCTCTTTTGGTTACCCTGTTAGAAGTTGAATATGATTATGAGCTTATTTTTCAAACAAACAGAAATATTCTCTTATCTAAAAACAATTCTAGATAATTATTTTGCTAAATAAATGGCAAAACCTTCATAAAAAAAAAAAAGGAGTATAGTGATACAGATCTTTCAGATTTATATTAAGTATTTTTCTTTATAAGTAAGCTAATGTCAATAGACAAAAAGATTAATTTTTATAATTGTATTTTAAATTCCAGTTGACGTGTAGGATGTCAGCTTTGAAGTTAGAATAACAAATTAAAAGTTGGGGAAAAATCAGTAACAAATGAGGTCACAAAAAAGATATGGCAATAAGTTGGAAGGTAAAGAACCACTGCTTCAGGAGTAAACATTAAGAATAGATTTTCAAAGTATTTACTTTCTGGCACTGAAATTGTTGAAATGAGAGCACCAAACTTAGGAAGAACACTAGTTTAAGTGTTGAAAAAGACAGGTTACACTCCAGTTTAGTTAATTCCATTGTTTTATGAGGTTGATTAGTTTATAATACGATTTATCAGTAGCAACAGTGTAGAGCTCACACTTTACAAAAGTTAAGAGGGAATTTACGATTTTCTAAAAAATAAAGGGTGAGTTTAATGTCTGTTTTTTAAACTCTTCTTGGCAGTTGGTGTGCAGAGTAGGCCTTGTGGTCTCTTGTTGTAAAACAGGGTTTATATTGTTATCTTTGCATGTTATGATTCACTCCACTCTAATCTCACTGCCTCAAACTCTCTGGGGGCACTTCTTTGGGGGGGGGGGGGTTCATGAATGTTCTCGAACAACTGCAAAAGAGGTATCTGCTCTATCCTTCCTTAATTTTGAACTGAAAAGACTTTAAGCAGCTGGCCAACAGCACCTTCTACCAACTCTTGGGCTACTCCAACTGAATAGCGAGAGTTGACTATCACTTGGAATTCATCCACAGCTGCAGAGAGCAACAGAACATGAACCATGGATCCTCAAGATTCAGTCTATTACAAGAACTACTGCAACACCTCTGGCTGCTAACAGTTTTAAAACTTAACACATATAAAAATTTTCTTTCAATATTATGTTTCTCCCCATGAACCCTTCTTTCCTTCCTCAATGATTTCATTCCATTTCCACCACCGATTACCACACTCCTCTGTTAATTATTTGCTGAAATATTAACTAATTAAATGAGATAATAAAACACATAAATTAGCAGTATCAAAGCTACCTTGTATTGATCCCTAGAGAGGAAGATTATGAGCCAAATTTCATACAAAATCATTACTAGAAAAATATTTCAAACTCTAAAAAAAAGTAATTCATAGAAAGTTAACCTTGTAGTTCTAACAGCAATATGTGAAATTGATGCCTGAACTCAACATGGCTTGTCTTGCATAATAAAAATTAAATCCATTTTTTCCGATTTCCATTTTTAGCTCTTGTAAGGTTTCATCCTCCATTACCGATGAGAACTCATTCCACCTTGCTAGGAAGCAAGAAGAAACTTAACTAGAGCATAGCCTGTCTTTTTCCAAATCTTCAGACTTACAGCCTTCAGTTCTTACTGTCTTCAGAATACGGTTCAAAGAAAACAGAAGCCTTTTCTAGAGATTAACTGAATTATCTAGTTAAGTACATTTTTACCAACATGCCTTTCAAACTATTTCTATACAGTAGGTTATTAGAAAAATAACAATACATTGATAACGAAAAAAAAAGACTACACTATATAAACAAAATTGCCACACTAAAATTAGAAGACTGTTTCTAATAGAATTTAGTGATTTTACTTTTCCATTTCTAGTTTGTCAAAGGATAATACTGATTGTTGACTGACTGACATCGCATAAAAAATACATCAATGTTAAGATTTACGAACACAAAAAATTTCCATATGAAACTTTCAGTAACTGCAACCAGAGAAATATTTTGGTACATTACTGCATATGATATACAATGGTAAATAATGTACCAAATATTATTATCTAAGGTCATATTTGTTTGTCGATGTTATACGAAGTGACCCCGTGGCACTTATGATGCATCAACAGTTATTTACTCATGCATTAAAAACACTCCAAGTTTTCCACATAATTATTCTCTAAAGTCTTATTTTAAAAATTCTTGTTACTTGAAATTGACAGCTTATACAAACACAATTGTTTTAACCAAACATAATTCTAACAACAATAAAGACATTATTGTGGAAGTCTAAATACTTTGGTGTTCTTAATTAGTCAAGTCCAAACAAACCCAAATTTCATCCAAAAACAGATTTTGTAGATAACTTGTGTGCATTCTTTCTGTGCGCATACATGTTGTTCTTCCATAAGAATGCCTTATTGCACACACTGCAGTAGTATTTCTTCCTGTAAGATGTGTGCACATGTAGATTCATGTGGGCATCAAAATCTTGTTTCCTTTCAAACGACTTGTTACATATTTGACAAGGCACTCTTTCTCGGATGGTTCCTCTTCGGTACACAGAAACTAGATATACAGCAACGTTTAGAACTGTCAGTACAAGATCCCAAATACAGATGGTTTTGTAAAACAAATCTTTAGTAAACTCAATATATCAATATCTACAATGATGGGTCACACAACAATACATTACACACATTGATATTAACTTTTGATCAAAGCAAGCTACCTACTTTAGCAAAACTAAAAACAACATGGTAAATACTCTGAATATTCTGATCCAAATATGTAACGTTAAATATTTCAAGTAATCATGTCAAAGTTCAACAACACAGTACAAAAACAAAATACATAATTTTTGGGTACTAACAATTTTGAAACAGATGCAAACAAAAAACCTTTTGCTCTCTCCAAGATTAATTGCAGCTGCAATAACTCATGAAGGGAGATTTGTGGTATTAATAATTCACTGTGGACACAATTGTGCACAAACTGAGCTCTGAATTTTCAGAAATAACAAAATCATTTAACTACATCTGTTTCAATATTGTGAATTATATTTTAACTTATAGCAAATACAGAGCTTTCTCCTTCACTAATACCAAAAACAGGATCGATGGTCAATAAAATGTACAAGATACAAAAAAAAACATTTCTTCCACCTTTAAAATAATAATCAGTATATCTTATTTATCTTACATGCACAGTATAAGAAACACAATAATCCAATTGTTATCTGAAATGGATTCATACACCTATGAAACATGATATATCAAGCATTTCAAGTCACTTCTGTTGTTCAGATGCTCCATTCAGGAAATCGATGGACACACACACTGTTGTGAAATTCAGTGTGCACACAAAGTTGTCCTGTGTCTTCCACGTTGTCAAACCGGACCAGATACAAGTGTTAATTTCATACAAAGATATTACTGGTAATAGTAAAGAGTTAAGTTTAATCATTATGTGGATAGATATACCGTTAGTATACAAAATCTACCAAATGACGCATGTAGATCAACTTTAACTTTGGTAAGTGCTGATAGGGTTACCACCTAAACGGCTGTAAAACAAACTTTTACTGGTGGTTATCCATTAGGCATGCCCGTCCCTGTGTGGTGACCACATAATGTGGTTTGAGTTTCCTGTTAGAAATGCAAATCGAGCATAAAAAATCAACATACAAAGCCTAAACTGCACAGATGACAATCTCAACTGCTGATTTTTGTATCCAACATTCTGTATACAGTTTGGAGATAACTTGTCAAAATGATGTACATTTGTACAGTTTTTTCACTACTCATTCAAGACATCTCCAAACTTTATTTTCTAAAAAGTGTGTTCCTCATCATCAACATAGCACACGTAGTCCAAAACTATTTAATTTTATGAGAAATGGACCCTAAATGCCATCAAATCGTTACAGTGTTTTCAAGAGATAATTGAACTTGTGCAAGCCAACGATGATTCTGGCTCTGAAAATGAATTATCTTCCAATGATTCTGAGTGTGATATGACTGAAAAAAAAAAGGTACATGCCTAAAGGGTTAATAAATTTTAGCATTATGGGGATATCAAAAACTAAGATTTTAAAAAACAATCGTCCTTGGCAAAATAATAAATATAACACATTTCTTTTAATTGAAACATAGCTCTGTCGAATAAAAAAATGTCTCTGCAAAGTAACTAACAAGTGACAGAATCTCACGGAGGAAGAAAAGATACAACAATTTGATCTAATTTGTTGGAAACTGTTTATTTACTTAACGTCATACATGTATATTAACTGAAGACAGATCATATCACAGTGTGCTGAACAGCAAAGATAAAACATACTAACAAACTTGATTGCATAACAAAGATCACTAATAACTGAACAAGAAGCAAAAAACTCCATTTTGCATACTTCACTCATGTTTACCACATTGGCTACAGTATTTCACATATTATGTATAAAGCCTGGCTCATCCTTGACACACCTAGACCCCATACCATGTTCAACCTGCTATCACATGTATATAAACACGGCAATTCTTGGAATCCAGTCAAACTGGACACTTGTCACTGGTGGATCAGTGCTTGGGACTTCGCTTGTTCTTATTTCCATTATACTGACATTGGCATAATTAGTACATAATTTTGTTTGTTTGTTATTAAGCACATAGCAACATAAAGGGCTCTCTGTGTTGTGACCACCATGGGTATCGAAACACAGTTTTTAGCATTATAAGTCCACAGATTTGCCACTGTACCACTGGGGTGAAACCAGTACAGTTTGCTAATATTATACTCTTGGATATTTCTAGTTATTTGAGAATACTGATGTATTATAGAATGATTGTGACCAATCAGTAAGTTAGACAAATAATTGACAAATGACCTTTAGTCATAGCAAGTTCAAGGTTGTCACATGTTTACACAGATGGGAGCCCATTCATCAGTGACCAAGGAAAAATGCAAGATAAGTCATCCAAACCATTAAGGTGGTACTCTGTTGCTAGTAGAATTTTAAAATTTGTTTGTAGTAGTGCTGGGCAATTAAATTGATTACCTACGAGTAACAATTACATCAATTAGTAAAATATCGATTAATTGTAATCAACTGAAAGTAACTAATCACCATTAGAGTTTCCAATTATCACTGTTTATCTTTATACCTACTATCCAGTAGTCGAAATACTGCCATTAGTTTTTCATTATTATTTTTGATTAATTCAAGTTTTTAAAACTCAACTGGTAGGTGTAATGATTAATGAAAATAATTAATTAATCAAAATAAAGGTTTCCAATTTTTGATTATTTCAACTATTCAAGAAATTAAAATAATTTAATTTGTTTGTTGTTAAGAACAAAGCTACATAATTGACTATCTGTGGGCTTCCCTATCATGAGTATCAACACCCGATTGTTAACACTATAAGTTTATTTGCTTTGATGATGTAAAAAGTGATTAATTGAATTTAATCGATTGATGAGCCCATTTATTAATCCATTAGCAAATTCCACTAATCATACAGCTTTAGCTAATACATATATTGATTATAATTAAAAAAAAGGTAATTATCTCTTTATACATCCAATCAATAATTTCCTGAAAAATAAAGAATGGGTTTAATTTTTATTTATTTCTTGAGGGACAGCCTTGTATACCAAACGGCCCCTGTACTAATTGATTAATCAAATATAATCAATTAATTGGACTGTCAATTAATAGATCAGCAAATACCACTAATTATTCCATTATAGTCTAACAGTGAATGGACATGTCATGCATTCTCTCAGAGTTAACCAAAGTAGTTTTTGTACTGGCAAATTTTAAGTTTTGTCAGACCTTGGACATACATAACATTTACCTGTTAGACAGGTTCAATAAGAATAAACTGAACATCTTACAATATTATAAAATTTATATGCTTAAAATATTCTTCAGCCAAATCACCTGTGTATTAAATATGATTTTAAATGTACAATACTAAGTATAATTTTAAATGTCCATACTTATATATATATATATATATATATAT